TATTCTTTGGGTATGATCTACATAACAATTTATGATTTAATGTCCTAAAAAGTGCGATGAGTGTAGAATCATGCCTTCTACAAGACGATGAGCACATGAAGGTGAAGGAACACATCAAAAAGAAACCTCAAACGTTGAGTTTGTTCGGTAATTTGTACGACAAAAAAATCCATGGACTCCATGAAGGAATGATCAAACAAATTGTGGAGCTCGCTCGAGTGGTGCTTGATGGAAGGGCACAACCTCTCTCACAACCTGATCCTCTAAGACCCGAGCATCAAGCACAACAGGCGGCTCAATCTGCCAAGCGAGTGGGGGAGTCACAATACCGGGATAGTTCTAGATCTATGCAAAGGAGTGAGTTACAACAATGAGCGATAGAAGTCTATCGTCGGGTGGAGAATGTGTTCACCTAGAATATTGTGGAGGCCAAGCTACCAGAAAAGTTTAAGGTTCCCACCTTGGAACCATATAAAGTTTGAAGAGACCCCACTAACCATATTGCTTCATTTGAATCAGCAATCTGGCTTCTCGAGATCTTTGGTGCACTAAAATGTCAGTTGTTCTATACCACGCCGAGGGATTCAACATACTTCCCATAGGAATTATTAATTCCTTCGGAGACTTCAAGAAGGTGTTTTTTATCAAAGTTTACTCAAAAGTCATAAAAAGATTTAGATTCTTTGAGGTATATAAAATACGGACTGAACGAGAGCTTACAAATATATGTTAGAAGGTTTCAGAAGTACATGCTCAAGGTTTGAAACCGGGAGACAACAATCACCAAGGCAACACTAGCACAAGGATTGAAGAGTTCACAGTTCTAATACTTTTTGGATTTAAGGACACTCGAATTGTTGGTTGAACTCTTGGAGTTAGCTAACGACAATATTGTGGTCTAGGAATATAAGAACCGACCGATTTCCAAAGGTGAGAAATCAGATTGACAGTCAGGCAAGAAGATCTCAAAGGATGACGAATAGAGAGCGAAGGATGGTCCTCGTTCGAAATGTGAGAGAGGTCGTTCCGATCGAAGAGATAAGTTAGAGAACAAAAGAGACGACACAAACATAGCTGATTAAATGATCTGTCTATAAGAGATCGAAGGACATCCAGATTTACTCCACTTTGAGTTTCTATGGCGGAACTCATAGACGCAATTGAAAACAAAGAGTATTTCTGAAAGGCAAACCTAATGAAAACCGGAGCTTTCCTCCGGAACCCCAACAAGTACTATAAGTAGCATCGAGACCATTGACATGACACTAGGCACATCTGTAGCCTGATAGAGGAGCTTATCCAGGTAGGGATGGTAAAGAATGTCGGTCACCTTTTGGAATTTGTCTGTTGCTTTTAGTTTAATATATATAAATTTTTTAATTTTAAAATAGTATTTTAATTTTGGAAAATAAGACAAAAAAAGATCTTATATAATTAATAGTTTAAGTAATCGAGCACAACACTACACGTAATACGCTCATGCCAAGAGATAAACACATCAATTATAAATCTAAAAACAATTCATGACATCTATTTGGTCTACAAACCTTTGTGTGACCAAAAATTCCCCTATCTAATATAAAAATTAGATATATTTTATATTATATGGGTTCTTAATTTTCTATAAGGGCAAGTCCTTATAGTTAATTACATCTTAAATGATTGAAGTCACTTAAGAAAACTCTCGATTAAAATTAGGAGTTTCGTCTTATGGAATTCAAAATTTGATTGTGAAGGTTGGACGCAGAAAAAATCAAGTGGGAGTGACTTAAATAGAAACAGTTATTTTGGAAACTAAAGGAGTGAAGAGTAGGGAATGTCATGGATTTTGAGCAGAGCCTTAATGACTTCCCAAACTATCTTATTGTTTGGCTTTACATTATGGAAGTGATGTTATCAAGTGTTCACTCTTGAAATTTTATTATACGATCATGCAAATAGCCTAGAAAGTAGGAGGGTTTACATCGTACCGAACGGATAACCTCAAAATCCTAAAAAAATTTAGGACTTCTATTGTACAACATGATTGTGCAAGAGCCTAAAGATAGAGCGATGACTTATGTCGTGCTAGACGAGCAACCTCAAAATATTATGGGTTTATGTTATTTAAAACTAAGGAAAGTTTAATTGAGGTTCATCCTTTGCTTCATGTTAAGTCTTGATCATCATCTGAAATTGTCCTCCACCTGCTTGCAGTCTATGATGACTTTAGGTTTAGGGTTTATATTTGAACTTGTGATTAATGTTGAGCCTCAGGGCTTACTATATGGTTCCTCCTAAACAAGTGTCCTACTATTCTCTACCATATGGGTCTTTCACAAGTATATTAAGTTATGCACAAATAAACATGCTGTAAAGTACAGTAAAATGTAGATGTAGTAAAAGAAGGTAACAACGTGTACCCGTGACCTCCAACACTGCTGCTAAAGAATTAAATTTGCAAAGAAAGCATGCAAGTGTTCGGAAACTGAATGAAAACATGGTGAAAAATAAGCATGTAAAATAAGTTAGATGGTACATATTAAAGACCAAAGCTGGGTGTAAGAATTTTAGTTATGCCGGAGCTCAGCCTTAGGACTAGTGGTTCTGTTAATTATTCTTGAAGGACTCCGTAGGCAACCAACAACAAATATACATATGAGACCCAACATGCGGTAATGGGCTACCAACAAGACAATCAAGGGAGGGCAACACTTAGCCCAGTCTATGTGATTGACAAATGACCTTGCCAAAAGGTAACACTCAAAAGTTCTTAATTTGTCATGCAGATAAATAATTTAGACTTAGATTTCTTTTAGTAGGCAAAATGTAGGTTTCATCCAAAAGTATATATATTTTAACTAGTATAAATATTTTTACAAATCAGGCATTTCGTAAGTCAGTCATATCGTCGGGTTAGAGCTACCAACAACCCATGAGAGCAAGGGCGACTCTTTACCAAATGTTAGAGAATAGTAATGCAAATTCTTGACCCTCACTAAGTCATCAGACTGGGGGACACACTACCATTCTGCTATCACATATACTAGTTGCCTTTCACATCATCGCTCATACCACAAAAACTTCCAACTTACACCGACTTGATGAAGGTCGGTGTTAGTCGACAACGTTTAGTGACTGCAGAGGCCGATGGTATTGTCAGGCCTTCAATATCAGTGTTAAGCACAATGAACCCATTTGGACTATGAAGATTATAAGAAAAGGTCACCGGTTGACTGTACTTGGAGGCGACATATGGTGTTCGTCAGGTGGAATTACTCTTTACTTCTCCCTTTGTGAAGCGAAGAGAGTGGCATACTTATATGTTCTTGGTTACTTCTCCCTTTGTGAAGCGAAGAGAGTGGCATAAATTGATGTGTATTTTGATATTTTAGTGAATAACTTCTCTAAACATTTGATTAGCTGTCATAAATTGATTTCCCTTGATTATTGAGGTTTTTTTAACGATTTGAGTGTCTTAATGACCTCATAATTAAAAAATCACATGCTTGTTTGATTCCTCTAGTTGAGAAACTCGATGTAATTATAAATATATCAATTTTGAAGTTTATGTAACTATTCAATTAATGATTCAAGGTCTTTAAACGTCCTTTAACAGGTATATATGGGCTTGATTGGATCCAAATTAAATCAATTTTGGTATCATTAGATTCGTCTTGTCGAGATGATCATTTTGCTATAAACTTGCTGAAATTGAAGCTTTAGATGGTTTTAAATTTGCATTTGAAATATTTATTATTTAAAAATATTTTGAGATTCTATTTGTTCATAAAAAATTCTTGATGACGCTTAAGAAATATAATACCCTTTGCAATAATAAAAAATGTTATATTGTCCATCAATAACAATTTGTACTTTTATTCCAATTACCCTTTTATTACTCTTTAGTTTCTTATCATCAAAACATGAATTCCATAAAATACGACTCTTGGCTATGACTGTAATCTAACCAATGAACTTAATAAATAACTCGAACTCGACTCGATTAAGACTCGATCATGTTTGTTCAAATTAATGAAAAAACAAACTTTAACAATTTTTACAAACTCAAATTTTAAATGAACTAAACATGAGTATAGTTGAACTTGTTCATTTATGTTCACAAACAAACTCATTTGTTTTTCATCAACTAACTAACTTGTTAAATACTCGATATTAAACTCGAATATAGCTCGTATCATATATGATTTATTATTTAAATAAAATTTGATTAATTAAAATTTATTTAATTATAGATTTAATAATAATATATTATTATATCAATAATATTTTTTTTATTAATTGTTAATTATATATATATATATTATTAATTATTAACTATTTAAAAATTTACATGATGAAGTTTTAAAAGTAAACATTACTATTTGTTCATTTTTTTATTCTATTTGATCTAGCAGCCTTTAATTTTTTTTAATTATTTCTGTAATTAATAAATAGTTTGACATTATTAGTTACTTTGTAATACTAGTTAATTTATATTTTTTTTCGCTCTTGTTATAATATTTTTTTTCTATCTTACTTATCATTTTTGTGAGAATATAAATTTACAAGTCTATATTCATTAGATGACAGTGTGTGAGTTGGGTCATTTACTTATATGATTTATTCATTTGTTTATTTATTTAGGTTTATAAATTTTTTTTAATATTTTTTATATGAAAATTTAGATACTGGTTTGAATTTTTAATTTATTTAATAGCTTATTTAAATACTAATTCACTCATCATAAGTAAATAAATTACAAAATAATTCTAAATAATAAATAATTTAAATAAAATAAATTTAAAGAATATGCGAAAGCTCCACACAAATAGATAAATAATTTATAATTATGTCTTAAGTCCAAATTATGGCATAGTGGGCCCCATCGAGTCTTGGCCAAGTGCAAGAGCAAACAAAAAATTTCTTGTGGTTAAATTTTTTTTACTAATTTAACTGTAAAGCTAATAATTAAACAAAACCTATCAGCATTATTGCCTATCTCTATCAGCATTATTGCAGGAGAGTACTTCCCCATCCATTCATTTAAGCCTTCTTCGTCTCCGCCGAAACTAGATCTAAAGATGGCGGAGCAATGGATTTTAGATCTGACCAAAGAGCTCCGGCGTCCACATGACCCGCTGGATCAAGAGCTGTATGCCAAATCCATCTATCGCGTTCCCAAAATCCTCACAGACGTGAACAGCCAAGCCTACGAGCCCAAGCTCGCATCTTTCGGCCCTTACCACCATGACTGCCTCCATCTCCGTCCCATGGAGCAACACAAACACCGCGCCCTCATTCAATTCCTCCGCCGCATCGCTAAATCTTCCAAAACCCCCGAAGATGTACTCGTCGCCATGAGAAATGTGGAACCCCGTCTCCTCGCTTCCTACGACAGCCTTTGCATGGAGTACGAAGAGCAGGACTGCCTGGAACGAAGCCGTATCCGCCACCGCGACTGGTGCAAGGAGAAGGACGAGTTCCTTAAGCTAATGATCGTCGACGGCTGCTTCGCGTTGGAGGTCATGCTCGCCGAGAAGAGGTCGGCTGCAGCGGAACAGAGCGAATACGACTCTCACGATTCGGTTTTTGGAGTGGGGAGAAAAAACTATGTGATTCCAGATCTCAAGCGAGATATGTTTCTCCTCGAGAACCAGATCCCGTTTTTAGCCCTCACTACTTTGGCGGCTATCGATAGTTCGGGGGTAACCTTTTTCTTAATTAGATTATCCAACTTTATAATTTTGTATGTTTAATCAACCATTTGACTGAATTTTAGCATATCAGATTGGAGATGTCAGTACTCTAATCAAAACTTTCTACAACGTCTCTTCTGCTTCACCTGATTTTGGGTTAACTGATGAAGGCTTCAAGGGGCCAACCGAACGGAGCTTTCACATCTTGGATCTGTACAGAAAGATCTTGACAGGGGAGGGAGAGTATCTTCCGAGCTATGAAGAGAATGTACAGTCGGCTACGGAACTCAGAAATGCTGGAGTGTCATTCTGCAAGAGCAAAACTAAGTCCTTTAGAGACATCAGTTTCAATGGCGGCATTCTGTCACTGCCGCCGCTAGAAATTGATGATACCACTGAGTCATTGATGCTCAATCTCATGGCCTTCGAGCGCCTGCACGCGACTGCAGGCAATGAAGTGACAGCATACGCTTTCTTCATGGATGGGCTCATCAATACTGCCGACGATGTTGCTTTGTTGAGGACGGAAGAGATAATTATGGGGTGGGTGGGTTGTGATGGGAATATAGCCAACATGTTTAATAGGATTACAAAGGAAGCAACTTTGGTTGTTTTCAGAGATGATATACAGGTCGATGTGAATCGTAGGCTGAATCATTACTGTAAGAAAAGGATGCACAGGTGGAGGGCGAGCTTTGTAGAGACATATCTGAAGAATCCTTGGGTCTTCACCTCACTACTTGGCGGATTATTTCTCTTGGCTCTCACTATAGTTCAGACTGTGTACGCGATGCTGCAGTTTTATGAAGCCTAGTCATGATTGAAAAAGTTTTGAGAAGATTTTTGTTTGGGTTATGCATGTTATCTTAGTTTTAAATTATTTGAGAGTTTCAACTTTCAATTTGAGATATTGGGTTCGTGATTTTGTACATGCGTTGTGTGTTTATGATTAAATTTATGCAAAAATTTATAAAATGAGAGAATTTCTACTTAGGTTTCAGTACATATTTGTTGATTTTGTACGATTTATCAATTTATTTTTCTCGTTCCTGAAGCAAGTTTGATCTTGGAGAATGGTATTGACACGCAACTGTATATGAATTTCCTGTTGTAAACTTGTACTCAACATATGAATGCAATGCAAGCATGGGCTGGTGCAGAACCTGAAGAACAAAGGCAAGAAGAGAGCAAAAATAAAAGAAAACCGGGCAAAAATTCTGTAATTCAAAAACTATAGCAGCACAATGATACCTTTCCACTACCTATCAACTCCTCTATGGTAGAAACGAGGAGGAATGCTTTAACCAACTGTACAACAGGAATGTGTTTGCATGAATCTCGAGTTGCATGAATCTCGAGGAATTGGTGGGAGACATAAAGAATATGGGTTCTTCGGCATACTCGTCATACGATGTCGGTCTCTTAAAACGACCGCTGAAGAGAATGAATGACCCGTCAAAATACCGTACGGTTGCGCTAGTACTTATTTCCCAGTAGCTACCATCATGAAACTCAACAATCGCCTGGGATGAGGTTCCTAAGTATAGACATATTGTGGAGTTTAAGCCACTGCAGAAGTTTAAGTTTCCCTCCTTAGAACCAAATACAGGTTGAAGAGACTCATTGACCATATTGCTTCCTTTGAGTCAGCAATTTGCCTTCTCGAGATCTTTGACGAATTAAAATGTCGCTTGTTCTATACCACGCTGAGGGATTTCGCTCTCAGGTGGCTCAACGGACTTCCCGTAAGAATTATTAATTTTATCGGGGACTTCTTATTTTCTTGCAATTTACTAGCGCCAAAAAGCTCCAAAAGGATTCAAATTTTTTGTGGTGTATAAAATAGGGGCCGGACGAGAGCTTACAGACATATGTTACAAAGATTTAGAACGAGATGCTCGAGGTTTGAAACGTGGAGCCAACAGTCTCTAAGGCAGCATGAGCACAAGAACTGAAGAGTCCGCAATTCCGACACTTCTTGAATTTAAGCAAACCTGAAATGTTGGCTGAACTCCTGGAGTTAGCTAACAACCATATTGCGACCGAGGAATATCGGAAACAACGATTTCCATAGGTGAAAAATCAGATCGACAGTCATGCAAGAACAACTCAAAGGATGACATAAGGATAGAGATGGATGTTCCTCATTCAAAATGTGATAAATTAGAGGATGAATGAGGTGAACACAAATGTAGTCAATCAAATGATCGTCTACCGGAAATCAGAGGGCAACCAGATTTACACCACTTCGAGTTTCTTTGGCGGAACTCGTGGATGCAATAGAGGACAAAGTGTATTTCTGAAAGACAACCGAAATGAAAACCGAAGCTTCCCTCCAGAACACGAACAAGTACTATAAGTATCATTGAGACCGTTGGCATGACACTAAGGAATGTAGGCACCTCCATAGCTTAGCAGAGGAGCTTTTCCAGGTAGGGAAGTTGAAGGAGTATGTGACCTCAGAGGCGCACACTCAGCGAAAGGGCAAGACTCCAATGCAAAGTGAATCGGGCGAGCTGACTCGTGCCAATGCCATTCATATAGTAGGGATATTATCACCAATACTGGAAGGCGATTCATATGCCAAGGTTGATTGAAAAAGAAGACAGTCGGGAGATTACGGTGTTGTGATGCCTGCTTCAAAGAAGAAACCACATCCCCAAATCATTTTCATCGACGTAGATCTTCCTATAGTTAGAAATTCTTTCAATGATGCAATTGTTATTACAACACTCATCAACAACTACCAAGTGGGCAGTATCCTCATGGATACTGAGAGCTCGGGGAACATTTTATTTTGGGCTACATTCGATAAGATGAATTTGACAACTAATTGGTTTATTGCACCGGTCGTACCATTGTACGGTTTCTGTGGCAAACGAAAGAAGGCACTTGGCGTGATTGTGCTTTTTTTTACTTGGGGAGAAGGAGACAACCTATTTACCAACATGGAGGATATTTTGGTGGTGGACGCGCCATCGACCTACAATGTAATATTTGGTCGAGTTCTTCTCAACAATTTCCAAGTTGTGGTATCAACTTACCATGTAGCTGTGAAATTTTCTTGTGACGGGTTATTGTCATTTTATTGCCCGTCTCACTATTAATGAGCACAATAGTTAAAGGTGTCAATCTTTTGCAATCTCTTTCAGAAGAAAACATAAAACACTTGAAGGAGGTGGTGCTTCCTTCAGAAGGTGTGCAATTTTTAGTGTCTAAAGATATGGATGAACTGCTACGGACAGTGGCTTCTGACAAGAGGTGTGGCGAGAAACACTTTTATGTCATCTCTTAACTTTGCTTTTGTGTACCTTTCTGGGTTTGTAAGTA